TTCATTTCTTTTTGGTTTTGGTACTGGGGATTGAACCCAGGGGCACTCTAGCACTGAGCTACAACATAGACCTTTTTATTTTGAGAGAGGGTCTCATTAAATTGCTGAGGTTGGCCACGAATTTGCAATCCTCCTGCCCTGGGCTCAAGAGTCACTGGGATTATAGGCATCTGCTTTTGTACCTGGTGGCAAACTTATTTTCTAAGCCACTTATCAGACCAGTAGTAAAGCTCATTCATTTTAGCAAATAAAATGATAATGATCAGTTTATTCACAAAATTATTAAAATCCTGAATATTCAAAATAAATTTATATAATATTATATATACATATATAGTGCATATGTGTGTGTATATATATATAGTAAATGATATGTACTATCACGTACTTATAACCCCTTATGGAAATGATCAAGATACTATCCAGAATTACAGGAATCAGGCCTGCAAGGCATGGGCTGTAGAAGGTCTTCTAATTCCTTTAACTTCCTTCCTTTCTGCACACACATACAACATAATGCAAACAAACATGCTTTAAAGAAGAAAAAGTCGCATCAGGCACAGTGGTGCATGCCTGTAATCCCAGAAGCTCAAGAGGCTGAGCAGGAAGATTGAAAATTGAAGGCCAGCCTCAACAATTTGATGAGATCCTGTCTCAAAATAAAAAAGGCTGAGGATGTAGCTCGGTGGTTAAGTGTCCCTATTTCAATCCCTGGTACCACAAAAAAAAAAAAAAGAAAAACTTGTCTCCTCCAAGTTTTCTGTCCTTAAATATACAGTAAATCTTAAAGATATACCCACCTCCTCCCAATCAGAGTACAAAATACAGAAGTCTGAACACATTAACCATATAACAGATATATGGGTGAATTTCGATCATCATCTGTACAGTGATAATACTGAATTAATCAAGAAAGAAAAAAAAGGTACTATTTGTCTTTTCACCAAAGTACTCTTTTCTGACCACTAAAAGCACCAAATCTTACTGTGTTCTACAAAGAAATAACCTCAGAAATATTTCAACACTCCCTTAGACTTACAAACTCTGTTAGCACAACACAAATTACATTTCTCAAAAATATCTTGGGGCTGGGGTTATAGCTCAGCGGTAGAGTGCTTGTCTCGCACATGTGAGGTGCTGGGTTCAATCCTCAGCATCACATTAAAAAAATAAATAAATAAATATATTTTTAAAATCTAAAAAGTTCTCAATAACCAAATTCTTTGATCACAACCTCTGAGAATGTCCAACCCTCTTGCTACTACCTCAGCCATTACAATACTTTCTGGTGCTCTTTTTTTTTTTTTTTAACATGGTAAAAATATACAATTTTTGTTCATCAGATATACATCAACAAAGCTGGAAGTAAAACATTGGAACAGACAAAATGTAAACTTATGGTTCATATTTATGCTGTACTCCAAGAAGAGTCATTGAGGTTCAATTAAATATCAAATTTCAAAAGTATCTGTTGAATATGATTTTTATTTGTAGTTTAAAATTAAGTTGGATGCAGTTGTATGTGCCTGTTGTTCCATCCACTAATGAGGATGAGGCAGGAGCATTACTTGAATACAGAAGACCAGTGTAGGCACCATAAGGAGACCCCATCTTGGCAGTCTCGGTTACTGTCATCTACGCTGGATTCCTATATAAACCTACATTCAGGAATTGTTCAAACAGATTACTTTCCCCAGATCAGGTGGTACTTCCTTGCCTCTGTGGTGTTGGGGTGGAAATAGGTGTGTGTGTGGGGGGGGGGGGGAATGGAGGCTGCAGGTGGGTGGGGGTTGGCACAGGCATCCAGAACTCCCAGGTCTTTTCTGGTGCTTTAAGAGCACTATCTGACTTCAACATGTGCCCCTTAAATTCCTCTTTAAAATATATATCTATCTGTGCTTTCTCAAACATCTAACCCTAAAATTTCACTGTAATACTGCCATGTTATCTTATCCTTTATAATCAAAGGAATTTTTTCATTTTCCAACATAATGGCATCATCTTCAACCTTCATCACCAAATCAGGGCAGAAATAAAATAAAGGAACACATACAACCCTTCCTTTCATTTTCTCTGAGTTCTACGTGAGTACATAAAATTGATACACTCTCTTCTATAAATGAGTTTTAAAGTATTCCAACACACTTAAGTTTAAAAAAAAGTATTAAGGACTGGGATTGTGGCTCAATGGTAGAGTGCTCGCCTAGTATGCATGAGGCACTGGGTTTGATCCTCAGCACCACGTAAATATAAAATAAAGATATTATATCCACCTAAAACTAAAACACAAATATTCTTCTTTTAAAAAAAGTATTAAAATAGTTATTTTATTACCCTATACACATGTATGATTATACTACTTGTGTGATTGTGCACCATGTACAGCCAGAAGAAGGAGAAACTGGTGCTCCATTTGTGTACAAAGTGTCAAAATGCATTATACTGTCATGTATAACTAATTAGAAAAAATTAAAAAAAAAAAAAAAAACAGTTATTCACAGATTATCTTTGGACTTTAACCAAACATTAACAGGTCATTTCAAGTTCCACGTTAAGATCATTACCTATTCTTAGTCATGACAAGAATGGCATGACAGGGGCTGGGATGTGGCTCAAGCGGTAGCGCGCTCGCCTGGCATGCGTGCTGCCCGGGTTTGATCCCCAGCACCACATACAAAAACAAGGATGTTGTGTCCGCCGAAAACTAAAAAATAAATATTAAAATTTAAAAAAAAAAAAAAAAAAGAATGGCATGACAATATTTTCAAAAAAAGAAATATCAACTGCCAGGCGCAGTGGTGCACACCTGTAATCCCAGCAGCTAGCAAGGTTGAGACAGGAGGATCATGAGTTCAAAGCCAGCCTCAGCAAAAGTGAGGTACTAAGCAACTCAGTGAGACCCTGTCTCTAAATAAAATACAGACAGGGCTGGGGATGTGGCTCAGTGATTTATTGTCTCTGAGTACAGTCCCTGGTACCCCCCGCCCCAAAAAAGAAACAAAAAATATCAAGGAATGGTATACAGTAAAACTAAGGCATAGTAACAGAGAAGCACTGAAGAAATACAGTTCACATTTTGTAACGGGTTTATCCAGTTTTAAATTTCCTGTCTCTGTAGAAAATAAACCTTTACTGCAAATATACATGTACTGACTGGGATGAGTTATTCAATAACTAAATGTTTTAATTCAACACTGATATATTAAATGGTATTTCAGGGCTGGGATTGTAGCTCAGTGGCAGAGTTTGCCTAGCATGTGAGAGGCCCTGTGTTCAATTCTTAGCACCACATAAAATTAAATAAAGATATTTTGTCAATCTACAACTAAAAAATTTTTTTAAATAGTGTTTCAAGTTTAATATAAAAGATTAGTATTACAAAATATTATAACTATATAATTGTTAAATAAAGTTATAAAATCTGTAAATTTTTTTAATCTCATCTTGAAGTATCAAATACAAGTCTTGTTAAGCCACCATTCCTTCCTCTCCCTTCTAATTATCCTCTCATAATTACAAAAAGTAAATGCAGAAGAAAAGCAAGAACTATAAACATGGCTATTTCATAATACTTTTATGCTGTTAGAAGCATAAATGTATTTACAGAACATTTTTTAAAGAGAGAGAGAAGAGAGAGAAAAGAGAGAGAGAGAGAGAATTTTTTAATATTTATTTTTCAGTTTTCGGTGGACACAACATCTTTATTTTATTTTTATGTGGTGCTGAGGATTGAACCCAGCGCCCCATGCATGCCAGGCAACGCGTTACCTTTGAGCCACATCCCCAGACCCCAGACATCTTACTCTAAGTATATAGCTTCCCATGTTCAAGACTACTTAAACCGAGTATAGCAGCACAATCCTGTAATCCCAGCAACTCGGGAGGCTGATGATGCAAGGAGGATTGCAATTTTGAGCCTGGCCTCAGCAGCTTAGTGAGACCCTATCTCAAAACAAAATATACTTTTTAAAATGAACTGAAAGCTCTCTCTCTCTGCTTCCTGGTTTAAGCCTCTTTGGGGTTTGTATGCAACCATAGGTTTTCACAAATCTTGCCTGAAATATTTCAACATGACCCCTGCCCTATGTATGTCTTGTCCAGTCACCACAGGCCTCTGAACTGCCCTGAAGCTGAATATCCTTAACTGTCCATGCCCCACCTGACAGAGAACAAGCACTTCAGGTCACTTCCCCTCCCACAACTTTACCCTCTCTCAGCAAGAAGCAACTTGGAGATGTTGTCACCCACTTTTCCAAAGAAACGGAAATAGACATTGGCAGTGGAGAAATATAACAGAGGTCCACTTCATGCTTTGAATGTAGCCCTTGCTGCTCTGCCACTATGACTTTTTTTTTTTAAATATTTTTTAGTTGTCAATGGATTGATTATTTATTTATTTATATGCATTGCTGAGGATCAAACCCAGGGCCTCACACAAGCCAGGCAGGCAATCTACCACTGAGCTACAACTCCAGCCCATTGTGACTTGATCTTGATGTCTCCCTCCCCCTCCCTAATCTTGGGGAAATCGGATTACCTTTTTTCCCCATCCTAGGCAGTTATCTGTTCTTGAGCACATCAACCACAGAAACAAAGTAATTCAGACTTCGGGTATGGCACTAGAAGATTTCAGAAATTACTATCTCCCAAATTAACAAATAAATTACAATTCTGGAGAGAACAAGTGGAATGTAGCCTTTAAACCACCGCTTTGAAGAACCCCTGTTCCCCTGTTGGGCAGAATCACAGTCTCTGGGACAGGAGTCCCCCAAGTTTCTCCTTTGCTAGCAGAGCAATAAAACTTCTTTGTCCTTTTTCTTAAAAAAAAAAAAAAAAGGAAAAGAAAGAGAGAAAACAAGAAAGACTACACTGGGGAAACCTAAAGATTCTCAACTTCCTATTTTACCTTTCTTTTCATTTGGCAGTGAGGAGTATGTGAGAGGAGAAACCAGGAAAAAGAGATACAATGAATGACCTTTGAACAATATACAAAAACTTACCCACTTGAAGGATCTAAGGCAATAGCTCTGGGTTGATCCAACTCTTGCCAAAATAAAACTTTTCGTAAAGATCCATCTAAATTAGAAACTTCAATCCGATTAGTTTCAGAATCTGTCCAGTATAATTTTTCTCCAAGCCAATCACATGCCAGCCCATCAGGGGACAATAATCCAGAAACAACAACATTCTGTACACTCTCAGTTTTATTAAATTCTGTTCGTTTAATGGCTTCTTCGCTGACATCACTCCAGTAGATCAAGCCATGACCAAACACAAAGTCCACCGCAGCTGCATCCTCCAAACCTCCAACTACAATTGTAGCATTCTCTTTGCCATTTGTAGCATCAACCAATCGCAAGTCCCGTCTGTTTGCATAAAGCAACAAAGGGGCCGCTGGAACAAAATGAGACAAACATGTAAGTAAAAAGGGAAGAAAACATATTGGTTCTTATAAACTAGGTTTCAAATCAGCATTAGTGGCAATTACGGTAAAAAATTTAGAAAGGGTAAACAGACAAGGGCAATACCTAAAATCCTTTCATGCAAATTTTATTTTTACATCACTTTAAAACCAAAACAACAAGGTGAAATCAATTCTACTAGAATAGTCTTTTTTTTTTTTAAGGAAACAGTCTGTGAGATAAAATTTAAAAGCTTAGCCATACCAAAAATAAGTAAGGATACTGTGCTACTGAAACACTGATGGGAATATAAAACGGTACAGCCACTTTGGAAAACAGTTGGTAATTTCTTAAACTACCAACTTTCCTTAAATACACAACCTGCCATATGATCCAGCCATCATATACCTAGGTTTTAACTCAAAGAGATAAAAATATATATCATACAAAGACCTGTATATAAATGTTCTTAGCAATTTATTTGTAACCTAAACTGGAATATGATCAACAAATTAATGAATGAACAAACTGTAATATATCATAGAATAAAAAGTAATGTACACGTACATCAAAAATGAATTAGTCTCGGGCTGGGGTTGTGGCTCAGCGGTAGAGCTCTCGCCTAGCATGTGCGAGACCCTGGGTTTGATCCTTAGCACCACATAACAATAAATAAAGGTATTGTGCCCAACTACGACTAAAAAATAGATATTTTTAAAAAAATGAATTAGTCTCAAAATAACAGAGAGAAGCCAGATCAAAAAAAGGATATTTTAGACAGGCTCAGTGGTGCACACAGTGGCTCAGGAGGCTGAGGCAGGAGGATCACGAGTTCAAAGCTAGCCTCAGCAACTTACCAAAGGTATACTGAGTTCAGTGAGACCCTGTTTCTAGATGAAATCTTTTTTTTAATATTTTTATTAGTTACTGATAGACCTTTATTTATTTGTTTGTTTATATGTGGTGCTGAGAATTAAACCTAGTGCCTCACACATGCTAGGCAAGTGCTCTACCACTGAGCCACAACCCTAGCTGGATAAAATATTTTTTTATAAAAGGGGATAGGGATGTGGCTCAGTGGTTAAGCACCCTCTACGTTCAATCCCTGGTACAAAAAGAAAAGTATAGTTTATGTGACGCCAATTTATATAAAATCCTAGAAAATGCAAACCAATTTATTATAACAGAAAGCCAATCATTGAATGTCTTAAGGTGAGATGAGGAGAAGAGTTGGAAAAGAATGAAAAGTAGGAATTATAAAAGAGCATGAGAAAATTTTTGTGGGTGATGACTTGTTATCTCTATTATGATGATAGTTCCAGAGATGTATACATGTTAAACTTATTAAATTTTGCTTGTCTGAAGCCAGTGCTATGTGGTTGCCCCTGAGTTTCCATGGTTATTTCTTCATGAGTCAAGAGCAGAACAGTGACACCTCAGACCTCTTTGTGGTAGAAGGGGGGCCACCCACCCACCTGCTCACCTGCAGACTAACCCCTTCACTGCTCCTAAGTGACCCCTACCCCCTCCCAATGTCTGAGTGCCAGGGGACAACAGGACTCCAGAACTCCCCAGCCCCAACCGAGGATAGGAGCACTCCCTTCCAGTGCTGGGCTCAATGGGAACCCTACAATAAAGACTGGATAGGAGCACTCCCTTCCAGTGCTGGGCTCAATGGGAACCCTACAATAAAGACTGATACCACCCCCCAAAAAAACTTATTAAATTTTATACTTAATATAAGTACAATTTATGGTATAACAATTATACCTGAAAAATGTTAAATAAAAAGTTCAGCAGAGCCAGATTTTAACCTATTTTATTCTACTCTATACTATTAGAATGACTGATACCAAAACTAAATATTAAACTCATCTTAAGAGCTGAAGTTGTAGCTCAGTGATACAGTGCTTGCCAAGCACATGTGAGGCACTGGGTTCAATCCTCAGCATCACATAAATAAACAGATAGATAGATAGATAAAATAAAGATATTGTGTCCATTTACAACTAAAAAAATTTTTTAAACTATCTTAAAGAAATAACATTTAATTTTGAGAAAGTTGAAGCTATTTAAGGATTAAAGTAGCATTAATTCTATGGTTTTGTGGAATTTTTTAAAATATCTATTCCAAATTTCTGACATATACTTCCCTGGTACCAAGTAGCAATTAAAAATCCAGAGTACCACTGTCCTACAGAACTGTCCCTAATGACAAAAATGTTATCTGGACTGGGGCAACGCAGTACCACCAGCCACATGTTACTATGGTGTATTTAAAATGTAGCTAATAGGGCTGGGGTTGTGGCTCAGCAGTACGGCACTTGTCTAGCATGTATGAGGCCCTGGGTTTGATCCTCAGCACCACATATAAATAAATAAAATCAAGATATTGTGTCCACCTACAACTAAAAAATAAAAATAAAAAATAAATGTAGCTAACAAGTTATACTTTTAACTTTATAGATACTAATTCACTTAAATGTGAATTTAAATAACCAAATGTGTTTAGTGGTGATATTAAATAGCAATCTAGAGATTGGAATAAAAAATGGAATAAAGACTAAGACCAGAATTATGATGCAATAATCTACATGAACTCCTTTCATAATTACTAAAACTCTAAAGCTATACTTCCAAAGCCAAGTCCAACTACTATTTAAAAGTAACCATTTCCTCTTTTTAAAAAAACTACTGTAATTCCAAAATATTAAAGTGCTCACAAAAGTATAAAGAAAAATAGTGATGTTTAGGTCAGTCCATGGACTGTACCTGCCAAATGGAGTTATGAATATGCACTCTGTTCATCTACAAGTACAACATAAAATCCTCTTTTAATCAAGCTTAAATCCAATTTTCTGATTCAAAAGCAAATAGGAAGCTAGGCGTGGTGGCACACACTTGTAAACCCAGGGCTCAGGAGGTGGAGGCAGAAGGATCAGGAGTTCAAAGCCAGCCTCAGCAACAGAGAGGTGCTAAGCAACTCAGTGAGACCCTGTCTCTAAATAAAATACAAAATAGGGCTGGGGATGTGATTCAAATAAGTGCCCCTGAGTCCAATCCCCAGTACCACCCCGTCCCCCCCCAAAAAAATGGGAAGATAACTTTTTCTTCAAAAGTGACTAAAAATCTTTTCTGCGTATTCTGCTGCATATTCTGCTGTAGCTACTGGCAAAACTATAAATTTTCTTAATAAGGTTTCACTTTTGGGGTTGTGATTGTGGCTTAGTGGTAGAGGGCTTGCCTAGCATGTGTGAGGCACCAGGTTCAATTCTCAGCACCACATATAAATAAATAAAATAAAGGTCCATCAACAACTGAAAACATTTTTTTTTTAAATTCACTTTTAATTCATTTCAGGCCTTTAAACATCACGCTGATTTATCAGTCCTGATAGTGCCGCCTACATTATCTTGTAGTGCCCACATTATCTTATATTGAACTTCTCTTAGCTTGGGCCAAATATAAACATAAGGGGAAAAAGTTCCTATTAGTGAGGGGTACAATGCTCAGTCCTAGAGAGGAACAAGAAATAGCCCCAGTGCACTTAACTTTAACACCCAAGAATGATAATAATCGAATATTTATTGGACTCTTAATTTATGGCACTAACTTAGGAAGAGTGTTCATATACCAAATCTGAACATGATATTAGATGGCAGCCAAATGTCTTTCTAACTTTCAAGTCAAATATTAATATTTCCACTAAACTTTGGTCTACTAAATCCAAAGAATAATCCTGGTTATTTAAAGTTGACTCACAAAACTTCTGAGTACCAAAAAGAAAAAAGCAGGAAGCAAGGTACTAGTTACTAAAGGACTATAAACCCATACACTATTAAAAGGAAACCTAAGTACATCCTGTACAATCATTTCTCTGATGCTTGAACACTTTCTACATATCACCACCAATATCTTTTCAGAAATAACTAGGATAACTGAAAGATATAATTTGATCTGTAATATTATTTTTATCTACTAAAGAGGAAGTTGGATCCACACACACCTGCCCCGATTGTAGCATATATGTGCAATGTACTCAATGCCTTCCATTCCAGAACACTACTTCCTGAATTCCTAAAACAACCCAAATAATCAATCATATACCACTTTACCAAATACTCATGGATGCTCAAGAATCTTTAGTTTTCCTTTATTAAACTCCTACCAAACATCCTGTAGCAGCCTTTTCAAACTTTTCTGCACTCCTGCAGACAAATTTCATGTCTTAAATACTTTATTCTCAGATGATCACATAATCTCAATGAAGCAAGAAGAAAGGTAAATGTCAAACATCTTCAACATCTTAATTTATACCTCTCAAAAACTTTTTGTATCTCTCCCTAACCTCCCTTACTTTGTTATCATTCTCAAAGGCCAGTTACTCTAAGACAACAGTAAAAATTTCGGCTATCTCCTCTCTGAAACTTTGCTCTATCAGTTGTTTAGTATTTCTTATACCTTCAGCAGCTCATGGAGGTCCTGTTATCAATAATTTTGCCTTAAACATCCTACCCTGTTACCATCAAGCAAATAACTGTATTTCTCTTAACCAAAAAAATTTCATAACACTGGTATGTACTTTTAGCTATAAATTCCTTTAGTCTAACTTCCTACACATCACTCAGCTGAAACTGTTTTCTCTAAGCCTTCATAACCAAATCCAATGTTTTGGGTTTTTTTCCCCCTTAGTTCTTTTTCTTGACTTCTTTGCAACATTCAACACTGTTGGCCATATCCCTACCTGATGTAAAATGTTCTGCTTTTACTATGCAATCGTTATTGTTTGTTTACTTTTGGGTTTAAACCTTCCTCCTTTCCATATATAGCATTCCAAGATTTCTCTGTTGGTTCTCCAAATGACAGAGTATGAAAAACTATCAAGTTCACCTGGTCAACAAACAACTTTATGCAGCTAATTTCCAAATCATCTCTAGTTAAACCTTAAGTTCTATGCCTACAACTTCTTTTGGGCCAATCTTCTTCCCATTT